CACCACACAAGCCCACAAGGGGCTTCTGGACATTCTAGTCAAAATATTTCTATAGGAGGCAGGAACCTGCCTCCTATAGGAGAGCAAATGACTGCAGCGAATCTGCACTGCTATCAAACTCGATCCCAATGCAACATGTTTCATCAGTTTTCTACAAAGTGGTGCATCAGAAAATTATTCATCCCAAGCTAAAAGTTGAAAACATTTAGGTGGATTTTTGTAAAAAAAAATCATGGTAATATTTTACTTGTAACCTTTAACTATGTTTCTGGGTTTTAATAGTTGGGGCGGGGGGCTCATATGCAAGACTCTGCCAAGCAAATAAGCAAAATCAAAACAGTGGCAAAGTCAAAAGACCAACATAAGGAGCAAAACTAAAGTAGGAGGGAAAAAATAACACTTTAAACAAAGTCAAATATCTATCAGTGGATAGATGGAAATCTAGATAGAAATCAGGTGAGCATAAGTGTTTCCAGTCAGACATAAAGGAAGTAAAACCCAAAACAAGATACAAGATGTAAAACAACTTTTGAAATAAAACAGGAAGCAACTAAAATTCACATCTTAAACCCAGAGACAAGAAGACACACTCAATATAACACAGGCGCAGAGGAAACACTGGGGAGAATAGAAAAACAAAATCAGAACCACAACCAAAAATCAATATAACAAAACCCTAGAATTAAATTGTTTTAATTCATTATAGAAACATTTGTTGCACATTAAGAAAGCATACCAGGGACTTCAGCCACATCACGTCAGGTACTTGGCACCCTACACCCCCTACAGGTTTGGAAATGTCATGTCACTGACCAATCTTAGTAGCCCAAATAGGTCTAGGGAGGAGGTCGGGTAATGATTCACTCTTCATATTCCCCATGCTTTCATGTAGTATTTCATGTAGCCAAGTATTGTATGTCAGTACCTGTTTTCAAGACAGTTAAAAGGAAGTTGCTCCAATTCCAAAAGCATTCAGAGAATGAAACATGTGGCTTGAATTCAGATTAAAATTTCCTCTCTAATGAGCATCAAATGATACCGTGATGAATTAAAACAATGTAAAAGATTTGATAAGTACCTTGTTTTTTGAGTTTAGTGCTTTGCTTCATTATCATGATATAACTTGCTATGTGTAAATATAGTAGTTTAGCAGGGTTTTTTTTAATCTTATTATACTGAATGCAGTATCTAATTACAGTAGATGTGTAATTGGGGTATGACTGAGTTTGTTTAGCATTTGTACATTTGATGTATTGTTTTTTTATATAGTATTAGTTCCCCACAAAATAAACTGCAAAACGTTGTAAATAAGGCAAGAACGAGCAAAACAAGGTAAGGGTTCTAATTAATGCCTGACAGAAATACATACCTTTATGTAAAGATTTAAACATATACCAGTCTTATTTTCTTTATTTCAGTTTTAGGATATTAAAAGTGCCATAAGCTTAATTGCAGATTAAACCTGCAGCGTGCATGTGACTGATTAGATTTAGTTGATACTGAGACAATCATGTTAGATCTCCTCCTCCAAATAGTTGCTCAGTCACACTAACAGTGTTCAGGAGAGTGATCACTGGAAATTTAGCATCTTAAAATTGAGGATCATCATGCACCTTGTTATCGGTGCGGGCCCTTGGTTTCAGTTCATTATTTTAAAATGTGCGTGTGTGTTCCTCCCTCTCTTTTTTCCACTCTCACTGCCAGATCCTGATTTTTTTTCTTTTCCTGGGGAGTGTGTGGTCCTATCTGTGTGAGCATGTTCCCGTCTTTGTGTGTGTTCCTCTCGCTCTCTCTCTGTATATTCGGCCCTCACCTCGAGGCGAGTCGATCCTCTTACAGTAATACCATTGCCTAATCTCAGAGGCGTATCAGAGGGAGCTCAGAGCGCTCGGCACTAATAGGTTCACACAAATGGGATCTAGTCAAAAACCTCCCAATCCTCCTGCCACTGTAAATATGGAGAGCATTATCTGCGTCCGCCTGGAGGCCTCTGATGTGGAACTGATGCAGATTTGACAGAGAGACTGAGAGATAGCGGCCAAAAAAAGATGATTTAACATGCTGTTGACGTAGTTACAGTGGTAATTTGATTGGTTGTAGAGATGAATGAATCAAATTTCAACTTTTAAAAGTCTGATGGAGCCTGGTCATTCATACAGGATTGTTTTAAACGTAAATTATACACCTGAGTGGCTGCTTTTTCTCTCTCAACTTATTTGATACCTTTGAAGGCCAAAGCAAAGCCTTAATGTTGTGGTTGCTCTTTTTAAAAACTTTATTTAAAGTTTGGTTGAACAGATTGTTTCTTTGAAAATATATACCAGGCATACAGCTGTAATACTGCTTTTAATGCACTTTATAGTCTGCATTTATCATATCGTGGTAATAAAAGAATATGCACATAATGCAGCATTACAGTCACGATTAACCTCATTCCACAGTGTGTCTACAGCAAAACATTTTCTGTATTCCTTGCTGTAAATCAGTTACACATTTTGTTATGTATTTCACTTATTTTTCCCTTGAATAAATGTAGGTTTCAGGCCAGTCAGTTGACTGTATTGATGATACAAGCATAGCATATCTGCTATCATAAATTTGTCAGTCTACTTCCCCTACAATTTTTAGTTTTGGTTTTTGTTTTGTTTTTTTAGTGACTGGCGCCTTCCTGAGGTGAGCTGTATTTATGACTCTGGAAATATTCAGTATGCATATTTTTTTGACATTACAAGCTTTAATTTTAATGTAATTATTTTAATTTTAATTTAAGTTTTCTAATCACAACATGCTAAAGTTTTACAGTCAAACATGTCTTACAGTGTACTGCAGCCGAAAACATCAGGCATGTACTTAAAACCCAAAGGAACACAGACAATTGCAGTTTTGCTTAAAAATTGCTGAAAATAAAAATGTATACATTAAAATATTTTGGAATATGTGTCATAGATAAAAGATAAAGGAGACAATATAATGATATATAAAACATATAATGAACAGAAACAGAACCATTAAAAAAAGTGTTTTTGTTTTTTACCATAGACTGGAATGAAAAGGAGGCAAGAATCCTGTAACAGCAACAACAACAACAACAACAATGGTAATAATATTAACAGGTAGATAAATAAAATTAGTAAAGTCAACTCTAGTTTGAAAGACATTAGCAGAATAAGTAAATGAAGAAAACAATCAGAAAACGTCTATGCAGCAGTACAGCATTGAAGTTTTCTAAGTCTTATAAATAGTTTGTGTCCCCAGAAAACATCAGTTTTTATGTTTGACACTATTGCAATTCTCATTTTAATTAAGATTAAAACACAATAAACAACAAAAGATTTATATTTTTGAAGGTCTTCTAATGAAGAAGTGATTGTGACTGGAAAATGTTGTGAAAGAATAATTTTATAACATTATTGTGGTAGTTAAACATATACCAAACGTGTCAAAGCTTGTGCAAAGTTAAACTACTACTAAAATCTTTAAACCTCTCAATCACAAAAGATGCAGTAATAAATGTGAAAATATTAATAATGTTGGCTGTTCTCACTGGTGGCGCTGATTCTTCACTGAAGTGAGAATTATAATGAAAGCAAAGCTGAGAGAGACAAATGCAGTCATGCAGTGACATCAAGCGGGTGCTAACAGTACTGCTCTATTTAAACGCAGGCTGCTGCTTATTTCAGTGGTTACACTCAGGTCAAGACACAAACATGCATTTATAAACCTTAAACACTGCTTTGTCAAAAGAAATATATGTACAAATCAATAAAATATGAACAAAATAATGTAAGATACCAAAAACACATATCTCACTTATAACTGCAGATATCGGTCACAGTGTCTTCCATGATGGCTATGACAAAGACATGTTTTACCTTTATTTCTTTTAATAGTTAGAATTAGAATGCTATTTAAAATGAAAACTCAGTCATACATGTGATTGGTGATGTACCCTACTGCTTGCCCTGTGACAGCCTTGCAGCTCTGAATGGACTAATGGATGAAATTCACATATTTATGGAGTTTGTTATTCCTGTGTTTACATTTCAGTTTGACCAGAAATTTTCAGACCTCTTTTTATCTTAGGGCACCATCATATTTGGAACTTAAATAAAGGAAATGCATATATAAAAGTGATTAGAAGTGTCATTTCAATTGAGTCCAACCAAGATGTATACAAATACCCTTTCCCATTCTTGACAGTAAACTTTAATCAGTGTAAAATTTTTAATTACAGACGGAGAGCTGTGGAGCAGGGAGGCTAGCACTAGAAAATCACGTTTCTATGTTATCATATTTTACAGTTTACATCCAATTTATAAACTTCAAGATGACACAAGTGAGTGTGTTTAACAAAAAACTTAATTAGTCCAAAATAAGAAACTAATCTTTACAATCTCATCTAATGACTGCTGTCTACTTGAGTTCAACTACAGATAATCCATAACCAACAAAAAATCCTGCATAGAGCGGCTGAGTGAATGTGGCCTGCACTCTGTGGAGGAGAGTCATGTTGTCAGAAACACTGTAGAAGGACAGAGTACCTGCACTGTGGTCCAGATACACTCCAATAGTGGAGGACTGACATGTGGAGATGTGAGTTCTGATGTTGTCATGTCTAAATTCAAATTTATCTCTTATACTATATAGCGCCCAAGATGTGTTATCATTCCCAAATCCATAAACTGGTAGTCTGTTTGTGTTTGTGACTGCTACTGCAACAGTCCCAGACCACGTCACCTCCCAGTAACACCGGCCAGTCAAACGCTCTTTACTTAGGACACAAAAATGAGACATTTTTCTTCTTTCTGGATGTTCTAATTGTGCTAACATGACCACTTTCATACAAAAATTTTGTGTTTGTGTAGTACTTGCTTTTTTCTTGCTATAAGATATTAAAATCTTGCTTTCTGTGTTTGGAACCAGTGTGATATGTTGTGAATATTTTAAGAATTCCTCTCTAGTTGTGTGTTCTCTTTGTGACGGTGACTGATCACACTCACTCACTGTTGCTGATAGCTTGGTCCATTGTCCTTTGAGTATGTTCTGCATCTTTTCCCTGATTTCTGACAGAGAAGCTGTCACATCATCAAAGTTACACAGAGGGTGAATACTGATGCTGGGTGGCTTCTCACTGAAAGTCAAGCTTGACTGTGAGGGATACTTTTGTAGAAAGGTGATGTAATCCTGCATGTGACAGAGTTGTTCCAACTCAGATTTCTTCTGTTGCAGATACACAGTCTCCTGCTTCAACTTCTCTTGAATCTCTGTAAGTCGACTCACCTCCTTTTTTTGCTTAGATCTGATCTGCTTCTTTACATCAGACCTTATTTTTTCTAGGAGGCAGATAAGCTCTGTGAAGATCATCTCACTGTCCCTTACAGCTTTATCTGCAGATTGACTGATGGCCTTCATTTTCTGCTGAAGAACCCGCATGTGTTTAACTTGGTCCTTAATTCTCTGCTGGATTTTCTCCTGACACACTTCGAGCTCTCTCTGCTTCTCACTCATTTCTTTTGCAGCTGAAACTGTGTCGTGGCCTTTATGTTCATCCATGGAGCACAGATAACAGATACACTGCTGATCAGTGTGACAGAAAATCTTCATAGCTTCATTGTGATGAGAGCAGATATTGTCCTGAAGCTTCTGGGAGGGGTCCACCAGCTTGTGTTTCCTAAAGGCGGGGGATTCATAGTGAGGCTGGAGGTGCTGCTCACAGTAAGAGACCAGACACTGCAGACAGGACTTGACAGCTTTCAGCTTTCTCTCAGTGCAGACATCACAGCTCACATCTTCAGGTCCAGCATAGCGGTGATTAGCAGGAGCAGTTTGTCCAGTCTTCTTCAGGTCCTCCACTAATTCCGCCAACATGGTGTTTTTCCCCAGAGCAGGCCTCAGTGCAAATGTCTGTCTGCACTGAGGACAGCTGTGGATGTTCTTCCGATCCTCTTCATCCCAGTGGATTTGAATACAGTTCATACAGTAGTTGTGTCCACAGGGAATAGTTACCGGATCCTTCAGGAGATCCAAACAGATCGAACAGCAGAGTTTGTCCTGGTTTATCTGGGCTCCTCGCTGCGCCATTTCACCTCTGAGAATGTGATTGTGAAATAGTTTCACTTTCGTCTTACCAGAAAAACAGGCTGAGCTGCAGTTATTTCTTTTCAGCTTCTAACATGCACTGACTGGCATGTCAGAGTAATGTCATCTGTAAACTTGCAGATCTGTGAACAGGGCAGGAACAGAAAACACCTGAAATGAATGGGAGTGACTTTTCTATATTACAGGAATGAAGAGGAAGGGGCCAATTCCTTCATCATCAAACAAAGGTCAAAGTTTGTCAAGAGTGTGTGTTTGAGAGTAAGAGCACAATAAGCTTAGCAACTTAGCGTATCTGTGACTGAACTGCACCAATTTAATTGTATCATGAGTTAAAGAGGATTAAAGATTAGTCTTATGACTGAACAGATGCCACTTCCAAACTTATAGAACTAGCAGTTATTGTGTGGGTGAGGTACACTTGTACCTCACAATTCATTATTTTCACTTAAAAACTGCGATTTTGTTCACCAACACAATTAATTCATTCATTTATGCATCCATTCATTTTCAAAATATTAACATTTTACTTCATCTTTTAAATGTTCTATCTTCTTCAAAGTGGCCTTTAAAAGTATAAGTTATATTAGATGTATTTTTGATTTGTTTATAGAAGACTGGTTTTGAACTCAAGCTCTGTTTCTATTCACAGCAAAGAAGATGTCAAGACTGTTGTCTCTTTCTCTGATTTTAGTGAATTCATGAATTTTGTCATTTAACATCAATCTCAGGACCATAAGGCTTTTAACATTTCCTTCAAAGGTCAGATAAAAGGTCATAGTTCATGCTGAGTCAATTGCATCATAACACTCATAACTCATACAGTAAATCCAAACTCTAGTAAACAATGAGATTTGAGGAATTCAATAAATCAAATTTACTGATGGACTTTACAGCCTCTACCTGAATAAGACAACCTTCCATACATGTAAGTCAGTCTTCACTATCTAAAGTCTGAAAGCAAACACTGAGCTAGAACTAGATGGCTCTGCAGTCCCATTGTCAATCACGTCCTTTATTTCAGCATTAAGATACTTTCTTCTCTCTGGACGAACCTGATAAAACATCTAATTGTCTAATTGTCTAAATGTTTATTCATTCATTCACATCAACTACTTAAATCAGCTTCAAAGTTAATCAGGCCTTACCGATGCACATTTGCTCTCCTGCTGACACTGCTGAACTTCACAGTTTTTACCCTTTTGAAACACTTTAATGAACATCAACAGGAACACAAACAGAAAAAGGATTATATGCATTCAAATAGTACAAATTTTATTTATGTTAAAGAAAACCAAATCCCTAGTCAGGTTTCCCACAGCAACAATAAATGTGCACTGTATATCATTTACATCAGCAGTATTTTCACAAACAAATAACTTTAAAACCTAAAGTTACATTAAATTGAGCAAATCTAATTTACTCAATCTTAATGTAGTAGTACAGGTGTACCCCATGTTTTTGCAAAATGAGAACCCAATGTGGAAGAAAAGGCTGAAAAAAACAAAAAGAATAAGTATTTCCAGCACTCAGATGATGTGCATTACTAAGAAGATAAAAAGGCCCAAAAGTTATAGGCTAACAAGGAAAAACATAAGTGCAAATCAATCAATAAGAGCCAGGCAGACAATAATAATAGAGGGAAATTGTCCCGAGTAGACAAATCAGAAATCCACAGGCAAGATTTATGAAATATGAAATAATTAGAACGGAGAAAAGAAACACAGATCAGCAAAGCAAAAGCAGAAAAAGAAACACTGGGGAGAAGAGTAAGCATGAACACAAACAAATATTAGTTTACAAATGAGGAAACAAAACCCTGATTCACAGATATTAAATAAACCCCAACACCCTAACAGATACAGTACCAATCATTGGTTTGGTCAAATTTAATTATAATAATAATACATAAAACAAGCTTCTGCAAATTTGTTCTAAACAACTAAATTTCCTAACAGAACATCAGTGGTGGTAGAGAGATAGTTTAAAGTGAAATTTCTAATCATCTTGATCACTCATTGGGTGTCTATAAAGGTTCATTTGTGGTTTAATTTTCCTCTTACTGGACTTTTGATTTATCCCAAACGTAGCATATTTGGTAGTAGGGATACTTTTCTGCACAGTATGGCATAAAAAGCCCCACGTGTTGTTCGTTAGTAATGGGGTCATTTTTTATACTCCTGGTATAAAACATGGAAAATAACTAAAAAAAAAAAAAAATTAAATAGTGTTCCCCACTATGACTGTATTCAACCTTTGACTGGTTCTGCAGCTATATATGTGGACAATAGCTGTAATAAATTATGTCAACACTAAGACTTTTAAAATAACATTTGAATGGCAACCAGCTGCTGACAGTATTATGGTGTAAAGCTTTTATTCTATCCTGGTAAAATCTACAATAAGAAACGACAGTAGGTGCATCGTAAAATAACACTACACAGAATGACACAGTTACTCTTTCTCCTGCCCATCTATTTGAGTTCACACAATTTCAGAGAATTACCACAACCATAAACACTGAGTCCAGCATAGAGCGGCTGACTGAATGTGGTCTGGACTCTGTGGAGGAGAGTCATGGTTTTAGAGATCCAGTAGAAAGACAGAACACCTGCACTGTGATCCAGGTACACTCCAATTCTAGCAGACCGAGGACCCAAGATGGTGTTGCTCATGCTGTTGTGAATAAATTCAACAGAATTTTCTAAAGCCCAAGATCTGTCATTGCATCCAAATTCACTTTCATCTCCTGTTCTGCTAATGTCCTTGTATGTGACTGCAACTGTAGCACTAGCTGGTCCCATCTCCACCTCCCAGTAGCAACGTCCAGTCAGGCTCTCTCTGCTCAGAACCTGCTGTCTTTGAGTGAATCTGTCTGGATGATCAGGATACAGCTGTTTTTTTATCGTCAATCTAGCTACTCTGTTGCCTTCAGATAATATCAGCTGTGGGTGTGCAGTGTTTAGATCCAGTGTGATTTGACGTGAATACTGCAAGAAGTCAGCTCTGGTCTTGGGTTCTGGCTCCGGTAGGAGTAAAAAATCCACACTGGTCACTTTAAGTGAGATCTTGGTCCACTCAAGTTTAATAGTATTCTCGAGTTTCTTTCTGACCTCTGATACAGCTGCTGTTACTTCATCAAAGTAACACGGTGAGTGAATATTGATACTGGGCGAGTTTGTGGATTCACTTAGAGACGACAGAAGAGGGTAACTGTGTAGGAAGTGGATGTGATCTTGTGTGCATGACAGCTGTTCCAGTTCTGTCCCTTTCCTCTTCAGTTCAGTGAGCTCCTGCTGCAGCTTCTCCTGAAGCTCCCCGACTCTGTTCAACTCATTTTTCTGCTTAGATCTGATCTGCTGCTTCAGATTGGAGCTTCTTTTTTTGATGAGTGAAACAAGATCCTCGAAGACCTTCTCATTGTCTCTAACAGCTTTATCAGCAGACTGATTGATTGCCTCCACCTCCTGCTGAAGCACCTTCACGTCTTTCTCTTTTTCTTTAATTCTCTGCTGGATGTTTTGCTGACTCACCTCGAGCTCTCTCTGTTTCTCTTTCCTTTCTGTTGAAGCTGGGACTGTGTCGTGGCCTTTATGTTCAACCTTGGAGCACAGACAACAGATACACTGCTGATCAGTGCGGCAGAAAATCTTCATAGCTTCATTGTGATGAGAGCAGACATGGTCATCAAGCTTCTGGGAGGGGTCCACCAGCTTGTGTTTTTCAAAGGCAGAGGATTCATAGTGAGGCTGGAGGTGCTGCTCACAGTAAGAGACCCGACACTGCAGACAGGACTTGACAGCTTTCAGCTTCCTCTCAGTGCAGACATCACAGCTCACATCTTCAAGTTCAGAAGAAGCACTGACTGAAGTCTTCTTCAGGTCCTCCACTGACTCTCCCAACATGGTGTTTTTCCCTAGAGCTGATCTCGGTGCAAAGGTCTGTCTCCACTGAGGACAGCTGTGGGTTTCCTTCTGATCCTCTTTATCCCAGTGGATTTGAATACAGTTCATACAGTAGCTGTGTCCACAGGGAATAGTCACCAGATCCTTCAGGAGATCCAAACAGATCGAACAGCAGAGTTTGTCCTGGTTTCACTGGGTTCCTCCCTGCGCCATTTCACCGGTCAGAGACTATGATTGTGAAATAGTTTCACTTTTGTCATACAAAGAAACAAAACTGACTCTCATTCCTTCTGTTCACATGCCCTGAATGGGGTTTACGTGCACACCATGCTGGTCACACCCATCTGTAAACTTGTAGATCTAAGTATAGGAACAGGAAACATGTGGACCGAGTGGGAGTGTTTGTTTGGAAAGCAGGAAGCTTATTTCCCTGTGTTACAAAGATCAGTGTCCGTCTGAACTGAAACATCTGATCTGAGTGAAAGTATGAGTGTGTGAAAGAAACAGATTAAAGGCTCATGGACCATAACTTATTGCTTATTCAAGATTAACCTTCAATCTTGTTATTATTCACACTTAAAAGCGATCATGCATGAATCTCTTCTTATTTATCAAATTGGTTCATGTATTTTATTCAAAAATCTTTGTACAATATTCTAAAATAAAATAATGGAAATAGTGTGAAGAAGACGCTGTTAAACACACACTCCATCCAATAAAATAATAAAGCTAAAGGATTTTTAAATAAGCTCTACGTTAAAATGTTTTAAAGCAGGAATAAAAAGTGACTTTCCCGTTTACTTGTGTAAAATTTTAAAGACAAATATATGAATACAAATGTAAATAACCACCAAAAGATTTCATGAAGGTGAAACTGAGGACATTTCCCTTCTTAAATAATATCCTTTTCAAAAAATGATTGCATTGAATAAATGCATGTAACCATAGAGGTAATGAGTAATGGTAAGTATGTATGTGTATGTATGAAATGCCCAGCATGGATGCTTGTAAAGGTATGTGCAATATGTTGTAAAAAGAGGCATGTAACAAAAACATGTTGGCAAACAGCCTCCCAGAGAGAGTGTGTGTGACAGATGATATACTCCTGTTACTCCCACCTTACGGGTGCAGCTGGATACTTTAACAATCTAACCCAAAACACAAAGGTGACAATAGCAGTGCTACAAGGCCATCACACTCCCACCAATAAAAAATATGGCTTAGCTAGCCATCTACAAAGCTCGTTTAAACTTTTAAACTTCCTTCATCTCAGCCCCATTTCTTCCTATATAGGCATATGGAAGCAGAAAGAAGTTAACATTTTACCAACAAATTGAAACGAATAGTACCGAGACACAGCCCTCGATAGTGCATCAGCCAAAACATTGTGTGCACCTTTATATGTTGAGATCATATGACTGAAGAAGGAGGCACCATCTCATCAGACGTTGGTTGGGATTCTGAAGAGAATGAGGGAATGTGAGGGGAGTGTGACCTGTGTAAACTACAACCTGCACCTACAGCTTGATGCATGCTCAATCACCCCAGCAAGAAAATCCCAAAAAGTTGATTCTGTTCATCTGGACGTAGCTTTGTCAGTGGCAGAAGTGCACCTACATACACTTCAAAATGTTGTAGAGTCCATATTAAAGGCGATGCTCAGACTGGACAGACCTGCCCTTGCAAAAGAGAGAGAATACAATAACCCCAGTTTTATCTGAATTTAGCAGCAAGAATATACAGGTCATCAAGATCTTTATGACATTCCTGCAGTTTGACTAAGCTGGGGATCCTTGTTTAGCAGTGAAAATGTATACTATCCCTTCAAATGATACTGCCTAAGGAAAGCATGTATGATGTAAACAGAACCTGTTCTGACACTAAATCCTGTGGAACTGCATATTTAACAGTGTGTGAAGAAGACGCTGTTAAACACACACTCCATCCATTTCCAGGAACAAATAAGAGTCTATTAGATAGGAGTCAAACCATCTTATACTGACAGCATGGTCTAATCACTGAGGTCTAGCAGGACAAGCACAGAGAGCACTATGATGAGCTCTGAAACTCTTCAAATAAGCCATTCATCTGAAGATGATCTGTTAGCTGTTTGACAACTACTCTTTCAAGAATCTTTGAGATGAGACGAAGGTTGGAGATGTATCGATAATTAGGTAAGAGCTGTGTCAACTGCTGGCTTCTCAAGTCTTGGTTTAATTACGGCCTTTTAAAGGCCTGTGGTACATTGCCCATTAACAGAGAGATTATTGCTTCTCAAACATGACCAATTAGTGGTAGGATTTCTTTGAGCACTTTTGAAGGAATGGGTTCTAACAGATGTGTTGACTGTCCGGGGGAAGTAATGATTGAAGTTCACTCAGAAAGCTCAGTCAGAGAGACACTAAATAAATATCAGTGGTATTGAAGGTTGCTGCATGTAATGATAGATTTGTGAGATAATGAAATTATTCACAAATAAAATAATAATTAAGTCATTACTAGTTAAGGTTAAAGGAAGACTCAGCTCAACAGAGCTCAGACTAAGAACATTGCTTATATATTATCTCTCTTGTAAGAAAGCACTTCTGCCAGGAAGACACCTTCATTAGAACAAAGTTGAAGTACTGGCAGGAATCTGTTTTTGACCAGTTTGGGAGGGTGAGAGACTGCAGAAAAGAGGAGCAAAAAGAGGAGCAGCAGGTAGGCAATACTCAAATTAAAATTAAAATAATAATTAAAATAAAGACACATTTCAGATTGCTAAATGTGCCCTTGGCTTTTATTAACAACCACATGATAAAACACCATCATACATCAAAGACCATACTGCTGCTGGTACTTAACAGCAGTCCCGATCGACTGTTCCATTCATTCAGGAATAAAAAGACATCATCTGTAGACAGTAACACTAGCATGAAAAGGATACAGTAACAGTCAGAACAGGAACTATCATCAGTCTTGGCTCCTCAATATTCTGAACCTGATTAGAGGACTGGAAAAAAAGACCTTTTCTTTGGGTTGATTGTAAACAAAATGAAACAAACATACACACACATACCCACTCACACTAAGACAATTCTCCTGTTTGAACCTAAAGAACATGTAATTTAACTTGGAATAATTTGTAAAAACAGAAAGGAACGTACAAACTAGTAAAAGTTAATCAAATGAAGATAAACCGACAAACCCTTGCTCTATTTCTGAAGTAAGCTCTGAAGATTGTTGGAGGAGGAAAGTGTGTTTTTTTTTTTTTTTTATGTAAGGTACCGAACAAAACAAGGATCCAACTTGGAAAGAGGTATTTAAAAGATTTCAAGCATGAAGTACCTTAATTTAGTGATTACTCTAAGTATACCTGGTTTGATGCTGCAGAGGAGAAAAGATCACCATTCACATCTCACTGTTAAATTAAGACACACTTTATAACATCTGACCACCCTGCATTGCCTAGCATAGTAACGTCCCACTATTATGTAGAATAAAATATTAAAAAGATGATATCTTGACTTGTTTAACTTTAGCCCACTAGCTTAATGTGAAGGAAAATCTTTGGAGATCAACGGATGGAAATCAAACTAACCGATGCTTTAGCCTGACTTAATGCAGTACAGATTAAATATTATTCTTATACTTTTAACGAAAACACTAATATGTCAAGTGTGCTGTAGACACAACGCTAAAACTCAAAATCATTATATTAGTGTTACAGTACAGAAAGACTTAGCAGGGATAAACTGACTAAAAATAAGACTCTTAAAATCCTGAGTTAAATAACATTGTCAGTCACACAGATGCTGCGTGACCTCAGACCTCATAACGACGGTCATTTTCGGTGAGCTTTTTTCGCTTTAGTATTTCAACAAAGATGGTGCATAGAGGTGCATCTGGAGGCGGGGAGTCTAGGTCACAGACAGGAGCGAAAAACAATTTAGCAGAGTTTCATTTAAGAAACTTCAGGAGAGCTCATTTTCTTTTATTCCCTTCTGGCATGCTCAGAATACCTTATAGGGAAAATGTTCTTAAACTTCAATAGCATAACTAAGTGCTCCTTGCACTCCCAAATATTTACAGCTCCCCCTACTGCAGTTTTGCTCCATGTCAGACTCAGACCCGCCCCTTCAGATGTTTTCGGCCTCTCTCCGGGGAATCTCCCTGATGCTCTCTTGAGGTCCACCATGTGCCTGTGGGCGCCGTCGAAAGCTCCGCCCAGATGCAATAAGGTCAGCGTAGCCTTGGGCGTGAGAGAAGGCGTATGCAGATCGCCGGGAACGCCGGCCTCGCTGGAAGGGCGCTGGCTTTTTCTTATCGTCGTCTTCCTTCAGCTCCATCTCGTATTTCTTTCTGTTTCTCTGGACCTAAAGGACGATTGGAAATAAGCCGGCAATATATGAAGCAGAAGGGTACATGGAAATACAGTAGAGTTATAACGGAAAGAAGAAATCAATTTTACTTCAAAAGATGGTCAGAATACAGGCCATAGCCTTAAAAGCAACTTGTAATTAAAATTACAAAAGAGCGCTTACATATTCTGCAATACAGCCGGCACCCCAATGATGCTGTGTAATTGTAATGTAAGAATGGTGGGTTAGGATAATCTATACTACAGCCCTGCCATCAATGTTAGGAAATAAAGTTGTGGCCAGAATTAGTAAGTGATAATCATACATTTAAAACAATGCATCAAAGAAACAAAACAAAAAAAACATAAAGCTATGTTGTTTTATGTTTATTAATATATTTATGTATGTCAAGCATCTTATTGCCCATCACCCAGGACTCCCCCACCTTCCCTGAGAGGGTTCAGGCTGATAGGTCAGAAAATGACCAGCAGGCTTGTTGCTGCACTGGCAGAGGTCTCACCTTGTCTCCTACAGAGGGCCAGATGGTTTTAGAGAGAAACTGGATGCAGATGACAGGCAGAAGGCTGATGCCCACAGTAAGGATGATGGTTAACCACAGGTATGGCTGACGTAAAGCATTTGATGCTACCCCTACAAACACAACATATAAATACACACACATGTTAACAGAGAAATGAAGAATGAGGGGTTTATGTGGGGACCTTCAATACTTGGACATGATTCTCATTGGGTAAAATTATTAGTAGAAGGCTATTGAATTCATGCTAATGAAAATAAAAAGCCTTTTGTCAAAGCCTGACTTACTGACAACTTGTAGAGGATTTAGCAGTTAAAGAGACAGATGCTTTTCTTGACAAACAGCTGTAATGAGTGTCTACACTGAAAGCTACAAATGAATGATGAAGTTGCCTTAATGCGATTATTGTTTAATATATCAAAAAGTAATTTGTCAGTGATATTCCAGCTTCAGCTCGCCAGAGATCCTCTAGGAGCAATTTAATCTGAAGCAGGTTTTAAATTGGAGGCCAACCAACACAGGAATTTTAGAATACTTCATCAACCCTTATTGGCTTTTTGAATAACAGTCAGACAAACTGCTTAAATTTGTGAAGCTGTGGTCAACTAACCTGTGAAGGTGAAAACTGAGGGGAAGATGACATGGATCCCAGCACTGTGGATGTCAAACATGACCCCAAAGTAGATGGCTATGCTGCCCAGAACTGCAAAGCAGTTAACAAAAGTCCAGTAGGAGGTATCCAAGGAGATCTGACAAGACAGGAAGGAGAAAAGACAGACAGGATATTTTACATAAAAGCCATTACAAATATCAATATTCTTGAGTAGCTCCATATTTTGACAGCATCAATACTTCAAATAAGTCACAAAATCCAAATTATAATTCCTAAAAGGAAAAACTGAAAATTTATGCACTGCACGTGCTCAGAAATTTGTAACCAACCTGCAGATTCACGATAAAAATCAAGGACGAGGCAGCAACGACAGCAAAGGACTGATAGTCTGAGGGGGCTTCTCCGTCTTGCCCCATGGTTTGCAGGAAGGCTCCATAAGGTATGAAGAAGATGATGAGTGAGACGAACATGCCGTGGAACAAGCTGATGAAAAAGTTTTTGTAGTTAAACAAAGTCCCCTGCTGACCGGGAATGTAGAGTTTGGGGAATTTTAAACTCAGTCTGTCGTTGACATCCTACAACAGAGAAAGAAAGAGAAGGTTTCAAGAAATTGTAAGACTGCCAAAAATTAGGAAAAAAATATCTACTGAAGAATGACTCAACTAAACTTTAACTCTGTCTTTGTGCCATGAAATTATGAGAAAATTATGAAGAAAAAAAAAAGCTATGCATAGTTAGAGTTTTACCATTCATGCAGAATACAATAGCCCTCTTTTCTTTGGTCTACAACAAATTCAGCTTTTACCTGGTCAAGAAGTCCAACAAGTAGAACAGGCAAGCTGCTATAAGCCAGATTGTAGAGTGTGATAAACCAGTCTTCAAAGGTGATCTGCGGGAAGGAAAAACAATCATTTATCATCTCTGTTGCTGTTCAGTATTATCTGTCACTGAGTGTGTACTTTAGAAGTAAAGCACCACAAATCTGCACTTCTCACTGCACAACCTAATCCAAAGCAATCATGCTATTTAGTGGGCTGAGGAATTGAAGATGTAGGAGAGACATCGACAGTATCATAATCTTGTTCTTGCCTCTAATGCGACTGGAGCATTCAGATGTATGCACCGTTAAAAGTATTCTTTTAGGTGTTGCTCAGTAAAAACCTTGGAAGGTTAACATTACGACCCCTTAGGCAAAGTGACCAAGGTACAAATTTAGACATTAAACCGAGAAGTTGATGTTGACTAATGGAAATGAGGTTGTGTGTGAAAGGCGTTTTCTGTGGATGTCTTCCAGCAGGAGAACATTTACTCTTTGCCATGTTTGAACATGGATTAAAAATTCAACAGAAATGAGCTTCAGTGTTTTGTGTGGGAGCTACTCACTACATTTGCAATTTTCTCAGGGTTAAAGTACATGTCATAATGGGCAAACTCCATGCAAAGTTAGTCTAATGATGGCTATGATACTACAAACATTCCCTTCTTTTCAGAGTAAAATCAACGGGATGACTTTCACAGTGCTGCTGACCTGTGAGGAGTATCCGTTGAAAAAGGAGTACCAGAAGTGGACCAGAGTGAAGGCAAAGTTCTTGAAGAAGAAGAAACGCAGGAACTTGCACATTCGGATGTAAGACCAACGCCCGTGCACCAGCAGGAGGCGCTGCAGGTAACGGAACTGAGCAAAGGCGTAATCGCTGGACATGACGGCCTGCATCCCCTCCTGACCGCTGATACCGACACCGATGTCTGCAGCTGGAGGGAGAGCGGACGGGGAGAAATATTAGAGCAGATTTGTAGAATCTTACACACTTGGCGTGAGCACAGTTAGCTTGTGTCCTTACTTTTGATCATATTGACGTCGTTGGCTCCGTCTCCGATGGACAGTGTCACAGCCTTCTTGTACTTCTTCACCAAACTCACCACATGAGCCTTTTGTTTAGGTGTTACACGGCAGCAGATGACCGCCTCGCATTCAAAAGCCATATCCACAAAGTCAGTCTACCGGTAAAGAGAAACATTTCACTGGATTTAATATCATGAAGACAAAAATTCTTCTTACTCACAATATTCAAAGTTATTTGTTAAACCTGTCTCATCTCTTTCTCCCAATCATCCATCGGCTGTCCGTCCTGAGGGTTGCTTGGAGGTTGACGCCTCTTTAGACGCAGACGACGCAGACGACGGCGTTTCTTCTTCTTTTCATACAGAATTTCATTCTGAAAAGAATAAAGAGAGTAGATTAGTATGTAAACCATGCAGGGAAACCGTATTAAAGGCAATATATTAAATTTATCTTTAGACTATAACATTGACTAGGCTTTTTAGTACTACCAATTCATCTTTTATAGTAGCTTTAATTTAGTTTTGGTTTTTGAAGAAAGCTCACCAGCCATCCTCCAGTGATGATGAGAGCATTTTTGTTTGATCCGGGAAAGAAAGGCTCGGCCGTTTTCTTTTTGCCTCGACGGTAAGCTTGAGGGTCATCCCTTCTGCTGGCCTGACGTCTGGTTAGCTTCTCACTGTAGACACACAATACAGGTGATAACAGTGCTCAATTGCAACACAGTTGGGACCATAAATAGTATAAAAGATGGTTGGACCACTTTAAATATGAATGGAAACAGAATGCAATGGTTTCATTTCACTGTTTTCTGATGTTTTGATGGCGATGTGTCCCATCATCAAGTTATTCAAGTTATAAAAAAAAAAAAAAAAAAAAAAAAAAAAAAAAAAAAAGCCCCTCTTCTGTGGAACCAGCTCCCAGTTTGGATTCGGGAGACAGACACTATCTCTACTTTTAAGATTAGGCTTAAAACTTTCCTTTTCACTAAAGCATATAGTTAGGGCTGGACCAGGTGACCCTGAACCCTCCCTTAGTTATGCTGCAATAGGTGTAGACTGCTGGGGGACTCCCATGATGCATTGAGTTTTTCCTTTTCAGTCACCTTTCTCACTCACTATCACACTTGTTATTAATCTCTGTCTCTCTTCCACAGCATGTCTTTATCCTGTTTTCCTTCTCTCACCCCAACCGCTCGCAGCAGATGGCCCCGCCCCTCCCTGAGCCTGGTTCTGCCGGAGGTTTCTCCCTGTTAAAAGGGAGTTTTTCCTCCCCACTGTCGCCAAAGTGCTTGCTCATAGGGGGTCATGTGATTGTCGGGTTTTTCTCTCCATGTATTATTGTAGGGTCTACCTTACAATATAAAGCACCTTGAGGCTACGATATTGTGATTTGACGCTGCATAAATAAAACTGAATTTAATTGAGTCTGCAGGGACAGTCCGCCTTGGGATGTCGTTTGCAATGTTCTTGTCAACCTACTTGACATCATCTCCGTAGTGGATCTCCATGTCGTCTGTCAGAAGTGAACAGGAATATCCGATGTTCTCTGCCGTTTCTGGGGATAAATTATGAAGATTAAAACACGAGTTCTTTAACTTCTGTCATGAGTTCACTTTCAATTCATCCAAATTGTTACTTTAACCAGCTCAGGCATGTTGCTGTTATTCATGTGATACAGGTGTTTTATTTCTTTTGCACTTTGGGGTGATGGTACCTTTCTTATCTCCAGTCAGGACCCAGATCTTGATGTCTGCTTTAGCCAGCTTGGCAATGGTTTCTGGAACTCCATCCTGTAGTTTATCCTCAATAGCCGTTGCTCCAATTAGCTAAATGCAAGAGAACTCATTACTAGCTGTAACGGGAGCTTCTTGTTTTAAAATCCGATAGATTTTTAGCAGAAGAGATTTTTAAATTAAAACATTGAAATGAATTCTACATGTATGTAGAAACTAAAGCGTAGTCATTTCCCACTCACCATCAGGTTGTTCTCGATCTGCTCATACACAGCATCCAGGGCAGCTTCGCGGTCATTCATGGTCACCTGGGCCTCTTTGTGTCTCCTGGACCAGGCTTCAAACTCTTCAGCACTGATGTCTTTGTAACACAAGCACAGTGTCCGCAAGGTCTCGTTGGCAAAGACCTGATAACATGAAAATATTGACTTTGTTTACTCCTGAGAGAAAAAGAAAGCATCTGGCATGCTGCAAATGAGATTAAACAATAGAAGCTCACATCAAGAGCAGTCTGGGTGGTTTCCTTATGTTTGGAGCTGGGGGAGAGACGCTCGTAAATGACAGTGTCTGCTCCTTTACAGTAGAGACGAATACGGCCATCGGGAAACTTCACTAAAAAGACAATACATAGAAAGATCAGTGGTCTCAGTGAGATAAAAAGTCAAAAGTAGCAGGTCCAATCTGTCCAGTCTAAATGGCTTTGATAATATTGCTCTTATTTGTTTTAGTTATTTCTATAAAAAGACCGTAGTCATAGTGATGTTTGGAAACCTTTTTTGAAATTTGTAATTTTTGCCAGTTTGCAAAAAACAAAAACAAACAAACAAACAAACCCTGCTTTATTTTCTATTTCACTTTAAATTAAAAATAAGAATTTAGAGAAATAAAACTATGAATGAAACTATTGACTGAGACCATAAAGTCATCGGGAACCTGTTTGTTGAAATCAAAATGAGATATAAGTAGGGTCATTTCCTTTAGATTTGTAAATGACCGCACTTCTTTTTGCATCCAGAGGTGCTGCCCCCTGCTGACCACTAGAAAGAAGGCAGGTGTAAGATCACAGGTTTCACTTTTCAGGCCCTGAAGCAATATGCCCATTTATATACAATCTATATTCCTTACACTATAAAAGGATGGCATGTGGTGCAGTAGCGACGGTTTTAGCAAGATCTGGATCCACATCCAGGTCATGCAGCATCCACACATATTGAAATTACAGAATATGTTTAGGATTAACTACGTATGCATTTATATTAAAGATTGTCCAAAACAAGTAAAACTGTGCAAATACTTTTGAGTTCTGTGCCAGTTGTGTATTTTGAGTAGAAACGTAATAAAATCCTTCCATGATTTAGTGAAGACTAAAGATAGATTTATTCAGTTTTTAGGTGGCATTTCATCAGTTTTTCATTCATTGCGCATCCTTCAGTAACTTGGTACTTTGTTTTGTTTCTGATTCAAAGTTTGATGGGGTTTTTCCCTTGCAGCTTCATGTGTATGCAGATAACTACATCTAAAGAAGTATTTAAGCACATTATGTCAGGCTGTGTGCTCGTACAGATGATAGACATGCGCTTGCGGTCAGAGTTGAAGTCGAGAAGCGCCAACATTTCGTAGGTCATCTCCTGATCCATCTCCCTGATGGTCATGGTGTCCTGCGTACGAGACAGAAACACGTAACCAAAGTTCCTGGCAGCCGTGACCAGGGCGCCCTCATCAGGAGACGCTGCCTGGTATACGAGATCATCTGAGAGGACAGTACAAAAGCAGAAGTCAGTACCTGTAGTCTTCTTTTTAAATAGGACCTATATTATGTGACTGTAGGATTACCGGCTTTGTGCTCCACCATGACGGTGTGGCAGAGGGAGAGCAGTTTGAAGAACTCCATGGCATCTTTATCCTTCTTGGATCGGACATGGGCAACCAGGGAATGATCTATGAACTGGAACTTCTTATCAGCGTAGCGGTTCCAGCTCCAGTCCACCGGCTGACATGAAATAGAAAAAGGTTTTATGACTTTCCATTTTCCTGGGTTTATAGGGTTTTTTGGGGACTATTTTTACAGATCGCTGAAGATCAAACTGACATTTCATTTGTTTCTACTCATGAAAATTTCAAGTCATTATTTAGACCATTATTTAGATTTTACCTTTCCTCGTTCCAGTGACACACCCTCAGCAGTAGTTGGATCACCTGTGGGGAAAAAAACAAAAACAACCCCCAACAAAACAAACTTTTAATGCCAAAATTACAAATCCACAGTAAAGCAGGGTTTTTACAGAGGTTTTAAATAGAGTTGATACAGGACCCAACAATTTACTTAACATATTTTCCTAGATTCATGTATTTGTTTCATTTTCTGCTTTAATTTGCATTTGAGTTGATCTTTTAACTCCCTCAAAGCTGTGCCACAGGCCACCGATCAGGAAACTGCTGCTTTTCTTTTGTTACCATTAATCAAACACATGTATTTGGCACAAACTTCATTGCTGGTAGTTATGTGCCATTATTACCTGTGTAGCTTAAAGTTTGGGTAACTTTAAGCTAAAAACCTACACCGGAACATCACAGGTGGCTTTTCTTTGGGTGGGGGGGGTTGTAAAACTCCCATTCCTGAATCTTATCTTTTCCTTGTGTGAAACAAAAACTCCTCAGTACCATAATTGCGTCCAGCGATGGTGCACTTCTTGAACTGCATGATATTCTGCGTCAGAGTTCCTGTCTTGTCGGAGAAGACGTACTGGATCTGACCCAGCTCCTCATTCAGGGTGGTGGTCCGAGCCTGCAGACAGTTAAAGGAGTTTATGCAGCAGAGCTGTAGTGATCAACTGAGGGTGGAAAATCTGCCATTTTCACAAAATAATCTCCATTTAAAAAGGTCTGGTTTAACCACAAAACAGCATATATTCTCCATTTATGTCATATGATTTTGGTTTGGTACAAAAAAAAAAAAAAAACACTCCCACAAATACTCTTCGCCTCTTTAAAGATCATTATATTCTTGAATACCGGAAATGGCCATTTAATTGAGGGGCAACACTCACAGGCCTTCGACAACATACAGCATAAAAGTGGGGTGAAAAAAATCAGTTAAAAAAGATATTTGAAAAACAAACATGCAAGTGTTATTGTACCTTAGCTGGGGTGTCTTTTTCTGCAAAATACATCTGCAGGTCCCAGTTGATGAACTTACTCTGGCCCAAGCGAATCACTTCCACGCTGTAGACAAAGCACAAAAACTTTTATTTGGTGTACTGTTGAACACACACAAATCTGTAAGTGAGCACAAAACGCATTAATATAATTGTTTTCACTTAATTTTGTCTGGCTTTATGTACCTGACATAGAGCGAAATGGGCACCATGGTGTTGAGAACGATGATGTATCCCCAGAAGCTAAGGAAGCCTCTGTAGCCGTTGGTCCGATCTTTGCCATCGAACAGATACCAGGCCTTGGTGCCGATAGCCTCATACCAGTATGTGTGACCAATAGCCAAACCCGCGGACACCAGGATGAGCAGTGCAAAGATCTATGGTGAGGAGTAACAGAGAGACACCAAATAGCTGTTGAGAAGACTTCATATACTACTTGTATGGCTTGACTTACTTATTGCAAATGTATTGTTTAAGTGTCAGTGCAAGAAATCGGGGGGAAAAAAGACCTCAAAACATATTCAGGAAAAGCAAACATCATCAATAGCATATTTGCATCACTTAAACAGAAACATTCAGGAAGATTGGGCCTACACATTCAGCCATACAGGCCAACATTTACCTCAGTCTGTGGCGAGGAGGTGCATCAGATAATAGATATGAAAATATACACTGTGTGTTAAAATGGTGATTGAAGCTTACTGTGTAAACCATATAGTTCATCAGTTCATCAATTTTGGTCCTCTTGAACCTCGTCTTGCCACCATTTTTCATGATTTTGGTATCACCTCCTACAACAAGAAGTCAGTAAAATAAGTTCACCAACCTTTACAATCAAATTAACCAAACTTTTGAAATACCAATGTTCTAAAAAGAGGAACTGCCAAACTACAACACAAGAAAGTACAATCTGGTATTGAGTTAGAAACAAAAACTAATAACACGCACGCACGCACAAACGCACACACGCACACACACACACTTATATTTAATTATTTATATACTTTTAAACAAACAACAACAAACACACACCTGCAAAGATGACCAGCCCATGACACCAGTCAGTGTTTCTTATCTTGCAACCTCGGAGCAGCATGTTGTCCAGTTCCAAAGGGTAGCGCTCCCTGTCCCACAGCATCATCCCCGTAAACTTGTCAAGACGGTTGTTTGGCTCCTCGCACTCAATCAGGGCTACGGGACAGAAAAAAAGGCATTGGTTCAGAGAAATAAAATAAGAAATAGCTTGTTTCTGTAAGCATGATTCAAACTGACTGAGTGTGTTGTGGTGATCCAGTTCTTACCATTGAAGTCAGCGAGCTGATGATCCTCCTGAAGTCTTTCATCAGTCACTCGAAGTCCCATCCTAAACTTGAGGTTGGTTTCGCTGCAACGGGAAAACAATATATACACAAAGACCTGAGAACTGATTCCAACCCCGTTTGGGAGAAGGATTAAAAACAAAGAAAAATCCCCAAATCATTTCTTTGTTTTTGCAAAAAAAAAAAAAAAAAAAAGATTATGATCTTGTTTGTATCACTTTCTATTTTATTTCATTTCTATTCCCATTCACTGTAAACACGTTCTATTGGAGGATCTAACTGCACCACATATACAAGTATCTGTTTGATTTAAAGGTGTTCCCTCTTAAAAGCAGAACACGTTCACACACCAGAGCAAAGACTGTTTGGTTCTTAGAAAAGGCTTTTCAAATTTGCTCTTCTCTTCTCAGTTAGTAATTTGTTGACTGGGAAAAAGACTGATTAAATAAAAATTCCTCAAACACAGTACTCTACTCCAACAGTCCAATGCATCGTTTGTACAGTTTAACCTAATATATGGTGATAGCACAGTACATGGTGTTTTCCCCCTCTTTCTTACCCGTCGAGTTCAGCCGTTTCAACATAACACAGGCTGTTTGGGTTGGAGCTGGATAACAGCAGGAGGTCAGCCTACAGAGTAAAAAAATATATATATAAAATATCTGAAAATATAAACATTTGAGTTTTCAAATTGATAAAGCACTCAGAGGATTCAAGGCACACATCTGCGATTTCTTAAGACTTTCACTTTTGCTCAAAACTAAAGGATCAATCAGCTAATATTTTAAGTTCCGGATTATGCGATGCTGTATCATTTTATTCTGCTCATTTCTTTTTACCTAGAAGATGTGGATACATTTTAATCCAAATACAGGATCGATCAGGAGTCCCTTTTAAGTAAAGTATAAAGAAAATGACTACACACGATTATATTTTTGTAAACTTTTATGTAGATGACACATTAGTTTATGTAACAGTGAACCTCATAATGGCCTCAGCATGTCCCTCTAAAGTCTGTTTCCCATCTTTGAGTTTTCTTCTGTACCTTTTCTCTACAGTTAAATCTAAATACATAAGCTTACTTCTTTCAACCACAGATAAAAATGGATGCAGCTGTTTGATGTTACCCATTAGTTTGTGAAATCTCAAGTTAAAACTGAGCACTGAATTTACTACATCATGAAAGTGACTGAAACCACACACACATCCTGAATAATGATTTCTGATTCTAACGAAGACTATTATTTTCAAGATTACATCAATTTAGTGAGGTTATTATTATTAGTCTTCACGTAATAATATTTAATCTTAATGTCCCATAGCGCTAAAAAAGTTGAAATTCAGTTCACATCATAATAGGGATTTTTGAAGAAAATAAATTAAGTGTGCGCTCGTTATGTGAGCTTGTTATGGCTGATTTAAATTAAAACTAATGCAAACTTGTAGCAAAAAAAAACACTTTGGGTGAATTATCATACCGGAATAAAGTCATTTTTCTTGAGACGAACCACATCTCCAACCTGGATTTCCCTCCACTTGGCCTCTTGAAACCTGAAACAAAGAGAAAAGCAAAAAATGGGAAATGGGTTTGTTTTTGTTTTTTTTAATTGATTGAAAAACCTTTTTTTAAATAAGCAGCTTTCTTCCAACCTGCCATTTAGTAGAACCTCAGACTTCCTGTTGTTGATCTCGTTGTCCATCCTGTGGCGTGCCTGAAGGAAAAAGACATAAGAACATGAAGAATAAAACAATCAAAAACTATGCAGAGTAGCTGTAGGAGCAGCCAGTTAACTTGAACAGTTTCCTCGTTCTTCTACAAAGGAAACTGAAAATATATCGCTAGGTTTTTTTTGAACTGATTAAAACAATGCTGCATGTTGTTTTGCCAAGATGAACAATGAGGGTAAGCAAGTTTGCACCTGAGGGCCAAGTCGAGAAGACAATAACAGAAGAATTAACCTCACATGTCTTCCAAAGACCAAATCTTACCAGATCGTCCACCAGATCTTTGATAGCGGTGATTCCAAGCACGATGACCAGGGGAATCAGAGTAGTATACCAGGGCAGAGTAGAAATCTCTGGAATAATCTAAACAAACAAGACATTTGGTGGCACTCACTGATCCCCATTCTTTGCAAAACCGTCAGTCACAAAACAGATAATGCACAGAAGTTATATTTATACCTGTAGGATGAGCAGAACCAGGAAATAGATATTGGCTACTCTCTTAAACTGCTCATACAGATTCAGGGGCAGAAAGGTCAAGAAATTGTACTTGTATGTCTTAATGGCATTTCCCTGCAGAGAAAAAACAAACAAACAACAATTTGCTTTCTTCTCTATTCCAAAAAAATGAGTCATTTTAAACACAAGAGCTTATTTTGGCAGCTTATTTAAAAACAACTTGATTTCAAAATTCTACTACAAAAGCAAATTCAGACTAGGCCTGAAGACTACATGTTTATGATAAAGCAAGACTTATAAAATTCTCGATTCTGGTTAGAAAGACAAAGATGCTCTGAAGAAAGTAGGGTTGAGAAATTGTAAACTTATCATGCTGTCAGTGCTGAGCTGATGCCGTGTTTCATTTACAGATAACCATCTAAACTCTGCTTATTACACCTGGTTTCCACTGAGCAAGACACTGAAGCTCTGCCACTGTGGGAGAGCTCAGAGTTTGATTTCACAGAGGGCAGACTCTCTTCTTACTGGTGCTGAATGATAAGAGCTGGCTCAGGGCAGATTCCCCCAGCTGGTATCCAATGGGGTGATGGACATTGTTCTATCTGAGGCTATGCTTCCATACTGTATCTGTGTTGTTATGTTGAACCTTCACATAAATATCAAAGCAAACAGAAGCAGTTGGCCAAAGGTTCTAGTCTGGAACAGTGGATTGCTTTTTAGACTAAGACCTGCAGGTGAAGCTGTTTTCTTTTTTGTTTTTGTTTTAATAAAAATTCATTTTCTGTTGCAAAATGTCATGGGAGAAAATGGGAAAGGTTTCCAAACTTTGTCTTATTCAAGCTAGTGATCTCAGTCATCATCAATATGAAAAAAAAGTATTTCCTCAGGAATATGTCCGGTTCTTTGAAAAACTACATACTATTAACCACTTTTATAGCAATTAACAGTAAGAAATGCACTGAAATGCACTGACATTTTGGCATCTTGCTAGTCTGAAGCATTCAGGTTTTTATTCATGCCATAACACAATCTTCCCAGGAGTGGACGTGAAGCAAATTCCCCCTAAGGTTAGACTATGCAATGCTCAGAGACAATGCAGAAATAAAACACGAGCTACACTGCAGACTCTACGGGTATGGGTAGTATGTTAAACATCAAAGTTCATGACATTACAATTAGAAGACTGAACACGAGGGGGGTTTTTTTGGAATTTTTAGAGTTGCCTTTCTCTGAAAAGAACATGGCAGCATCTGAAAGAAAACAACAAGCAAACAAACACAAACAAAGACTTCTGGAACAATGTCTTTTGGACAAAGGAGCCTAAAGTAGAGATGTTTGGAAATCATTTCTGCCTATATGCTGTGTTTGGAGAAATGAAACACAGCATATTGGCAGAAACGCTTCATACCAACTTGTCAAGCACAGTGGTGGAGACGTAATGATCTGGGTTTGTCTCACAGCCACAGGACCTGGGCATTTGCCATTTTGAGTCAACCATAAACTCCTCTTTATACCAAAGTATTATAGAGCTACATAAGAACCGATCCATTTAAGATTTTACCATGCCCGCACACATCAATGAACTCTACAAGCTACCAAATCATGGTGCGTACTTGTGTTTTGCTTTTTTTTGTTTTTGTTTTTTAATTTACAGGACTGCACCTGTTTTTATTAAGACGTCAAGCTTTTGGCGTCTGTTTACTACATGCATTAAATGGGAACCTTTTCAGAATATACTTGTACTTCTTTAGATTAACACAAAAAAACATGGCGTCATCAACAGGTTATTATGCAGTGGTGTTGATGTAATTTATTTATAATGTCATTTATGACACTTTAGCACCACCGGGCAACGCTATGTGGCTTCAATTATATAGTAGAGAAGGCAGGCATATCCATTTTGGGCAGCTAATACCAAAACAATCTAGAGATCCACAGAACTACAGAAGAGATACGAGTATTTTTAAACATCTCCTGGCATCAGGATCCACCGTATCTGACTGTGTTTGCTGGTGAAAGAAAGGCCACCCCAGCAGGGTGATCAGGTTTCAACCTTAACAAAGGCCAGTGACACGAAGCATAAAAATCTCTTCCGTGTTAACCGGCTGTTAGAAGGATAAACCACACAGCCAGCAGCAACTACTTTAAATGGTTTTCCACATGAAGGGAGACAAATTTAACAAATGAAATGTGTAATGAACAAAAGCTGTACATAAAGCAAAGAACAAGATTTTCTCATTTGACTCCAGTGTAGCACGCCCAACTCTCATCAAGTTACATCCACCTCATCCCATTATTCATCTACAGTTCCATTCATAACTGAACAGCGTACAAAATAAAAACGTCATATTTTATAAAACACCCTCTCAGTGAGATCCCTGATGGAAAATACACACCTGCCCTGGTATTTGTTTAGGGTGTGCCATGTTCAGCTCTATATGCTGAGGGTTTGGTTTACACCACAACCAACAGTGAATCTGCAGATAAGTACATTAAATGGCATGCTGATGTAATGTCTAAACTTACAGAGTATTTGCTCTTCTTTATACAAAGAAAGACTTTTTTCTTAAACTCTGGCAGCTGGTGATAGGGTCGGTCATTGGCTTTCACTTTCCAGGTGACGTCTGCAAAACAAGAAGAAAAAAGAAAAAGAAAAAAAGACAGTGTTTTAAAAATATACCTAATGTTGATGAAGTAAACTATAGAATAAATAACATGTCTGTTACTTATATATCTCTAGAAGGTTAGGCTAAAACACAGACTGTATGTGAAAGATGGATGTAATCAACATAACTTCACCCACCAGTTAAATTAAAAACAAGAAGAAAAAAACAAAAACAAAAACAGAACGACTCAATTTTCCAAAGTAAAAGTCAAACAAACAAGAAACTAGAAATGTCTTGATGCATGCTCAATCATCCAGGTAAGTAAATCCAAAAAGATTGATTCTGTTCATCTGGACGTAGTGTTTTGTGGGAGAAACG